CCCCAAAACCCCAAAACCCCAAAACCCCAATTGGAGAAATTAGAATTGAAACAATCTTGAATTCATTTTGCATGCATCGATCTTAACTATTCTTTTATAATATCTTGGTTAACATTGCTATTGGAAGTATTAACCTGCCCAGATTTAAGAAGCTCAACAAGTCTCTTGACTTCTAAAATTTGCTTTCCCATCTTTGTAGCGAAATTTCTATCAGTGTAGCCCCACCAGTCCCAGCATCCTAACGGATTTACTGTTTGGTCAACTGCAGCTTGAGGATAGAGGATGACAAAGTCGTTGGCTTCGGCGATTTTGTTATAACCTGTGTTTTCAACATATTTCATTCCAATATCTATACAACTAAAGTTAGACATGACAATAAAATATCTATTGATTACTTTCAATGGTCTGCTGGCATCCGTGGAACACTACATGTAAGGAACATCTAGCTGCAGAGTCCTGGCAAGAAGAGGGAATATAGGCATAAGCTTTAGACCCCATCACAGTCCCCTCAGTATTCTGATCAATAGCAAATATGTTTGAGGTACTATGCTTTTTGCTATTCTTAAAGATCTTATGAGGGTGAAGATGCTGTAAGGATACCAAAGCTCCATTTAAGTTACAACTCCCAATAAATGGAGTTTCAGATTTGAGACAGTCAACCCCGAAATCTTCAGTTGGCATTGTGTGCCCAGCTTCAAAATCAAAAGAAGACATAATGTCAGCTCCCATTTCCTTGTAGAATTCTTCAGCTTTAAGGCCCACACTTTTATGGACAGTGTTATCTGAGGTACCAGTGAATAAATAAACTTTGTCGTCCTTCAAATTGCTAGTCTCATCTACAAATCTAGACTTTTCATTGGCTTTCAGATAATTAATGAGTCTTTGTAAAACAATTCCTGATCCATCTGCCATACAATTCTGGAACCCATGAGTAAGATCTCCCATAGAGCAGTAGTAAGGACCTCCTGCAAAGATGGCTGCTCCTCTGAATGTCTTTGAAAGAGCAACATGGGTCTGAACAGCCATGAAAGCTCCTGAAGAAAGACCTCCAATCGATATATCATCACTGATTCCAACTTGGATCGCAGATGCAGCGAGCAAGGATATCAAAAGAAATAGCAATACCTTCATCTTTTATATACTCAGGTTATAAAAAAAGTGTAATAATATATAAATGGTAAATACGACGTGGTCTCCAATCCTAGGAAATTTTGGGGTTTTGGGGTTTTGGGGTTTTGGGGTTTTGGGG